CCCCCTCCTCCTCCTCCTCCTGTAGACCATTTTCCTTTAATGGCTACAACAATAACAAAACTATCAATTATCCATTTCAAGGAAGAACAAACAAGCAATCTAGAATGTTCAGTCTGTTTAAAAAAAAAAGGATTATGAATATGAACTTACAAAGGGCAGGTCAGAGTGTGTGTCTTTTTACAGAATCACTTTAAAGAAGCTAGATAATTCAGGAACATGGTAATGAAATCTGTTCAGGTCTCCCAGTTCTCAAATCTCATTCTGGATGGACAATCGCTAGAAATTCACTCAATGGCCCATTAGTACTTAAATAAACCACAAAGTTCAATTTGTTTCCTAGCAGTTATATAGTTCAGGGAGAGGGGAAGAGAATGCTATTTTGTCAAAAAAATGTTATTACTTTAGAACACAGCAGAAGGGTGTTTTCCTTAAACAAAGCCAAGAATTTTAAAAAATGAAACTATGACAGGTGAAAGGTAAGGTTAAGGAACATGATGGGACCACATTTCAAAATGTTAATAGGGACTAACCTTAATTTACATTTCAGTTCAAATTAGATTTTGCCACATTAAAAATGAAAGGATTTTGAGAGTCACATGCAACATTGGGGCCTTCAAATTGTGTCCTCTTGGTTTAGAATAAAAAGGCATGATAGAAAGCCACAGTGCTGCAAATCCTAGCTCTTAATAGATTTGCTATACAAGAAAACAGAGTTGGTACACACAGCAATTATTCAATGTGGTGGCAGGGCTCTACTATGGAGTTTAGATATGAAAAATCAGGATTCAGACCCATACACAAAACTGTTTACACTTCCAGAACAGATCTTCACAGATCTTCCCTGCAGAAGATACTGTTAAGGGAAGGTATCTCCATTGGTACTATATACCCACCACAAATAAAGAGAAGAACTGTTGCCAGTGTGTGTGTGTGTGTGTGTGTGTGTGTGTGTAATTGGTGGCATATTCTATCAGTGGAACTCATATAATACTGTGGAGCTCAAAAGGAAGTCTTATTTTTCAACTTTCTGATCTTGTTGAATTGTTCAAGTACTGTTGCAGGTTCACTGAAACAATTGTGGAATCTAAGTCTGGCAGGAAAGTCAACTGTAAAAATTGGTATATTTGGCCATTCCCCTGTGACAATACTGAAATAATTTCTGGTTTTGTGGTAGACAGAACTATACAAAAAGGTTTTTGGCACGGGGGCTGGCTTACCTTAACAGGTCAAAGATGTACAATTTTTTCTAGGCCAAGGGATGCACTTGGACTCTGGCAAGTTGGAGCCAGGACAAAAAGTATTTTTTAAATATGATTTACATGTAAGTAAAATGAAGCACATTTATTTAATATTTTCCCCCTTTCTGTTGCATCAAAAATTACAATATGGTAAAAATTTTGGGAGGCAGAGATCATGTGGTCTTGCGGTCTCAGGTTGCACGCTTCTGCCTTAATGGAAAGAATAAAATTACATTTTAATGTTACTGAAAATTACCTTCAACATCACAGCTAAGATAGTTGCGCACTTCTGTCAAAATGAAGTTGATATCTTCTTCTGTAGGTATTGGGTGATGGGTAACTTCAGTTGCAGTATCCGTAGTGCCAGCAATAGTCATCTTTTGCCATGGTAAGAAGAAAATCACTCGTCCATCACTAGTAGATGGGTCAAGAAGTCCCATATTATCAGGGCTGGAAGAAGAAAACAAAAATATTACTTTTTTCTTCTCAAGTTCTTTGAAAACGTTGTTTTTTAAAAGCTTCATTATAAAAAATTAGCAATGAATACTACATCACCAAAAAGTGTACTAGAGACACAGGAACAGCACAGATGATACTACAATCATGGATTTGGAACTAATGTTATACAGTACTGTTGGCAGGTGCTTAATGCCCAGACCATCTGAAGCAGATCTGGATGCAAGTGTGACAGTGGTGGCCGAGAACTGAGCAACAGGAAGACCTGCTGCACAAGCAGAAGAGCACTTGTACTTGCTCAGGGATGTAGCTCAAGGACAAACAGATTGTTCTTCAAGGTTCAGAGCTTGTTGACACATCATAGATGGACACATGTAATTTATTTATTTATTTATTGGATTTCTCCCCCACCCATCTCCCCCACAATAGGGGACAGTAATCATGCACTGTATCTCTTCAGGCTCTACTTGGAGCTACACTGTCATGGCACAGGTCACAAATATTCACAAAATTCTCCACAATCTGCCCCATAAAGAAGAGAACTTCAAACTAGGATCTGTGGGCTTTTGCTGTAATAGTAGACGGATGGCAGTTGCTCTTTCTGCAAATTATTAAAATCCTTCTTGGCCACATAAGGCCTTAAGACAAAACCCAGGGATGATGATGATGATCTATTATTATTATTTGCTTTGGGGACAAGATTAGGGGAAATGAACACTTTCTCAAATACTTTGAGAATTACAGTAGATGAAAGGAAATGCTTAAATAATATATGCTGAAGGTGCACATTAACTGCCATTTGGGGCTAGATATACATAAGAAATTAATTGGCTTGCCTTCTGTGAAAGAGGTATTTTGTGGCAGCATCAAATGAGGAATCCAATGACTAGTTCTTGTTTTGCAGCTCAGATCTAAACTACTTTACTCTGGTTCTGATCTTGGCCAAATCACTTATTTTCCATTTTCTTCAATACTTTGCAACAGTGGCCAGCCAAATGCTTTGAGGAAGTTACAAGCAGGGTAACAGAGTATCCTACCATTTATTCTATAACATTAATTCTTCTAAGAGAAATAAGGAGCACAAACATACACACACACTTATGAGCTGCAACTATACCAGTGAAAAAGCATATTGCCATGTCACATTTCTCATTCCTAAATACAGCAAGGCACCTTTGCTCTCATTTCCTTAACTGTACACTGGTGGTGAAGTAGGACATGCTTGCCCTCTATCCTGGCAGCCTAGTTTCATACCCAGTGAAGTCTGCCTGCAAGTGGTTCCTACTTGACAGTGTTCCTCAAACAAGGCACTCCAGTGGCAGTGGCTGGGCTTCTGCTACTTGGATCAAGGTTCTCCACTTTCATGACAAGGGCATAAATTGGGGGCCTGAGCAAAATGGCTAATATCTCCCCCCATGCTTTTTAGGGAGAGGAGGGATTTAAAACAAAAAGAACCACCTGTCCAAGGAACTCAGCAAAAGAATGTCTCCCACTGGCAGAGCTTAGAATGATATACCGCTTGGCTCTGTGTATCTCTCTCTCTCCCTGAACCTTGCATCAATATAGCTGACTGAGTAGAACTGCAATAGCCGTTGCTTACTGCACAGAACTAGCTCCACCGTGATAATACAATTTTTAAAGTAACAATAAAGTTATACTAAAATTACTTGTATACATTATGTTATGATAAAATATAATAATAAACAAAATGATTAAAGTATCAGAAATACAAAAATACAGAAAGATTATACTATTCACAGATCCAAATAGAAACTCCGCTGGTGTTACAGAAAATTGTGATTTTTTTTTTCCTGCACAGGTATCTTCTTGGTAAAAGAAAAATATGAGATGCCCCTCAGAGAGATGATGACAATTATATACACTTGAAGTCTAACTTCTATACTAAGTCTTCGAGATGATATTTATATATAGCTTAAGGATACATTTGGAGAAGAACAGCTTAAAAAGTAGGTGTCAACATGGACTTGTGCAAGATAAACTACGGCAGATAAGTAATTACTTTTCAAAATGAAATCACTATTGATTTAAAGAAGCCAGGAAACTAAGAAATTTAATATACAGGCTCAAACTATTTAAAAAAACTTTTGACAAGTTTCAAAATGAGGTTTCTAAATTGGCTTAAAAGAATCTGAACTGTAGAAGGATTGAGTACATTTTTGAAGAGGCTGCTGGGAGATAATCTGCATTTGTTTTAACTCTCACTGATTTAGCTAGAGGAGCTAGAACCAGGGAGAAGAGTTAACTTTCATATATCACTGCCTTGCCCATTTTCACTATAAGTATTTCAAATAATTTCAAGTATTAGGCTGCCAAATAGAGTAATTCCAGAATGTAACTTGGATAAGATTCTAGATGACAATAATAATACTCACCATTTTTTCACTGCTTCAGAGGAATCAAAAAGCTTGACATGCATCAGGGAAGGGAGTCACTGCCCCTCTCTATATTTTTGAACTACAGCTCCAGCCTCCTGTACTCCTGGCCATGCTGGCTGAGGCTGCTGGAACTAATAGTTCAGCATCTGGAGAGCTATTAGTTCCCTATCCCTGATATCTCTGTTATCCATACTTCTTTTTAGCATTTCAAGTTAATGACTGATTAGGGAACTGAAGGCATAGCATAGGCTGTGATTGCAGCAATTGCCGCTTTGGATCAAGTGCCTGTTTTTTTCCATTTTCTGAGAGGCAAAATGACAGTCAATCTAAAAGCAACATCCACTGGATTAAGGTTTAAAATTGTTAAGAGATTACAGTCATACTAGTATCACTGGGGTGAGAGAAAGCCATACAGTCACTACTTAAGTGAAAACATGCATTGGAAGAACAAAATTAATGAGTGCAGAGAGAACACAGGGACTATTAATGAAGAATATAAAATTGTAAAAATCCAATGGGAAATGCTTGCAGTGTATTAACATTAAATTAATTAAATCGAAGACAGATTTATACATAAAATGCCTTTAAAACTATTTATCATTTCCCCCAGATGATGTCAAAGTACTTTTCCAAAGAGAAAAGTAACTGTAATGACATGACATGCATTTTCTTTAACAGGACTCAGACTGGCACCAGAGGAATGAACCTACTGCTAAATTAATATGTATATTTACATTTCAGCACAACGCATTTATTTATTATACAGGCAGATTCCTTGGTTTAGCAACCTTTAGGATGAAATCAGTAGTCTTCACTCAGTAATACTAAGAATGCCATATGTGAGGGGCAACTGCTTTTGAAAGAGAGTAATCAGAATTACTGAAAGATGCTGAGAATAGGTCAAAGATGGAGGCTGACGAGTTTATTATATATTAAGCAAGCCAACATGTCCCACTTATGTACACACGCCCTCTTGAGTTTTATCTAAAACTGGAGATGAAGAGCAGCATTAACTGTCCCCAACCTGTCTCTTGATAAAACAGACCAACATCTTTGTTTTTTAGCTGCTACAGTCCTCTCACTCCTTTTACACAGAATGGCAGCAACTCATTTGCTTCAAAGCGTAGATGGATTATGTTGCAGTTGCTGAAGGACCATGCAAGTAGGAAAAGCCATGCTTTAAGGAAAAATGGAGCAATATAGTTCCCCATTCTGGATTTTATATGCCTGAATCTATAAACTGGCTTATACCAAGTTCCCCTACCAAGAAGATGAATTCTATTAGAACTGAAGCTGGAAACCAAATCCTGCGCTATATAAGAAAAGAAAGCATCACAGCCACGAACTAGTAGTTAGTGCTGCACTTGGGCAAAGCAGATCACATTAAATAGGCTGCTCTACAGAAAAGCTCCGAACACATAAATAAGGCCTAGATTCAAAGGAGTTCGGCTTATTTATTAACAACCTGGAACATATTTCAGTTATTTTCCAGTTATCCAGGTTGCAAATTGCCTGCAAAAAAAAGGTTTTGTAATGTTAGTTAAAGCACGACACATATCATTTACTCAAGTGAAGAGCAGAACTACAGTCCTCCTATTTCTGCCTGGCAAGGCTTGGCACAGCCTCTTTTGCAAGCAGAACATCTTGGGATTTTCTTTCTTTTTCTCATTCAGTATTCCAACATATGGTGAGGAAACACTGCCCTGCCACAAGCAGAAGGGCATATCTGAATACAACCTATTAGTAGTAGTAATATTTAGCATTCATACAGTACAACTGAATGTGCTATATGGATGCTAAGGGCTACAGTACTTTCTGGATAGTTGTGTAAAACTGGTTACTTAAAGTAAAACTGGTTACTTTTAAAACAGTTGTGCTAAACTAGTAGCACAATGATTTGCTGAAGATTATCCAGTGACTCCTAATGGCCAGTAAGCAATAACATCTTCTGAATTACCTCACCAATCCATCATGAGAGACAGAATACAGATTTTTAGAGCCTTAGTAGTTTGAGACAAGAACGTAGGTAGCATGGAGAAATATTCCCATCTGTCAGCCAGACCCTCTACAAAAATTGTCCAGTTAGCATTCTTCCAAAGATGTTTCTTGCCAAAGTCATACAGATGGAAAACTCTGGCTTTGAGGGGGATGGAGGGATTGGTTCCTATCTACTTTTATTTTGAAAATCCAGCTTTGCCCTCCAGTTGCAGGGAGATTTTTAACGCAGGGACATTTTGAACAACCATTAAGAGGCTAGTTACAAAGAGGAGTATCCTATGTAACTCCCCTTCCTTAGTAAAAGTGATGGTTTTTGCTTGACTCACTAATTTTCCATAAAGGGGGTAGGATGGGGGGACGAATGAAGGCTTGAATTCAACACGGACCATTTAAGCCAGAAAACACTCCCTTTAGATCCCCCGCCGCAATTCTATTAGATTCACATCCTAAGATTGTTACAAATTGTCTGTGCTTTGAATATTTTTACCTGTAATAGCCAGGCATCACAATATGAACGCCTGCACTTGGCTGACAGATGTTTGGTACTTCCTGCTCATCCATTTTCCGCACAGAATCTGTGAAAGGTCCTGTAGCATTGATAACACATTTGGCTTTGACATCAAATTCCTGCCCTGTGAAAGAAAACAGCATCAATCACATACTTCATTTGTTTCTCTCTTCACTGACTCTCTGGATTATTAATTTATCTATGAAGTTAATCTATTGTGAAGTGTGCGTATACAGACACACACACTCACACCCATACACACTGAACCGAGCAGCTCAGTTTCCTGCAGAATTAGAACAGATTTTGCTTTTTAAAGAAGAGTTAAGTTTGCCCCCCAACCTTTAAAGATTTAAGATCAGACTCGTGGAATGAAGGAAAAAAGAATGGTGGCAACACTCTCCTCCTGCCTCATCATTCGGCTTTATTTATCGAGTTCTCTATTTAATGACATTCTTAAACCCTGAAATTTGTTAAATGGTACTATTACTGAATGCACACCACCCGGCATTTCAAAACGTCAGCTTTGCTTGACAGAAGGGCTTGGATGTAAAGCACAGCTTAGCTTGCCAAAGCACTAGGATTTGAATGAAAGCCTGACAGAAGTTAAAGATGATTGGCGGTAATGACATGCCACTGCACTTTGGAAACATGCCTTTTTTGTCAGTTAAGCGATATTTACAAACTCCAGCCCCCTACTGCACTCTCCCTTCACCCACCTTTCTGCTTTTAGTTTGAGGAGGAGGAGAGGAATTCCCCAGTTCCTTAGGCAAGAGCAAAATGCCTTTCTGGACAGCAGAGCTTCCTCCCAGCAGGCTCAACGTACGGGCAGCTACTGGAGTGGAGGGCTGGAGGGAGAATCTGGGCAGCCACCCAACCCCAGAAAAGATAAAAGGGAAGGGGGTCTCTGAAAAACAGAAAGACCCCCAGTGCATGCCAGAGCAAGCTACCTGGAGACAAGGGGGCTTCATAAATGCCACAGAGAGCCGAAAGGACATACCTGTTAGAACGTCCCTGCACCTTGCTCCACAAACCTGGCTCTTCCCGCTCTCTGGATCCATCTTCTTCAGCAAGCGCACCACTTCAGTGTAATTGGCTGTGGCAGCCCCATACCTGGCAGCGGTGAGGGCGATGGCAAGGTTCATTCGTGCATCATTGTGTTGTCCTGCAGCGGGGGGGAGGGGGCACAATCACAGAAGGACAGGAGTCACCTCCAGCCACTGATTTGTGGTATGGAAGGGTGTCAGAACCAATCTGTCACATCTGTCCCTGTCACACTGAATACTCATGATGGCTGGTCAGACCTACCAAGAAATATCCAGAGAATCACCGACTCTCTGTAGTGTAGAATATTCTCCTTAAAAAAAAAAAAAAAAAAAAAAAAAAAA